GTACTAGTTCACTCCCACCAGCAAAGTAGCAGGGTTCCTTTTCCCTTCAGCCTCATCAGCATTTGTTATTATTTGATTTCTTAATGATAGCCACTTTTTCTGGAGTGAGATGGAATTTCAGTGTTGTTTTAATTTGTATCTCTCTAATAACCAGTGATGCTGATCATTCCTTTGTGTATTTATTGGCCATTTGTACTTTTTCCTCTGTGAAGTGTATTCATTTGCACATGTTTTGATTAATCTTTTATTTTGGGAGGTCTCAGTTTTTGAGCTCTCTACATATTCTAGATATTAATCCTCTGTCTAAGGAATAGCTGGTAAAAATATTTTTTCCCCATTCTATAGGTTATTTTATGATGCTCTCGTTTGCTTCTTTTGCTGTGCAGAAGCCTTTTAACTTGAGATGATCTCATTTATTGATTCTCAGTACTATTTTCTGTGCAACTGGGGTTCTGTTCAGAAATTCCTTGGCTAATACTTCAAGAGTTTTACCTATTGTATCTTCCAGCAGGTTGAGTGTTTCTGTTTTAACATTTAGTTCTTTGGTCCATTTTGATTTTAGTTTAGTACATAGTGAGAGATATGAATCTAGATTCAATCTTCTGCACGTGGACAGTTTTCCAAATACCACTTATTAAAGAGACCATCTTTCCTCTAGTATATGTTTTTGAGCTCTTTTGTCAAAGATCAAATACTGTTGAATGTAACTGCACAAATATTAACTCTGCCATCTGAGCAGTAAAACAGGAATTGCCAATGCTTACTCAATATAAAATAAAATTGTACTTTGGGCATTTCAAGAAAGTATATTGAAGATGTATTAGAATTCTTCAAAGAGTTAACAATTTCTGTTTTGGAAATTGCTGCTGCATTATAAAGCAAGTGTTCAAGGCCAAGAGATAGAAGTTAAACTTACCACTATTTGCATTTGAAGTTTCACAAGAACCAATTATTAATGAGGAAAAAATTAAATTAATTTTTCCTTTGTGATTGAAGATGTAGCAACAAAATGCATAAACAGAAATCATGAGGTCATTTTTGGTACCTCATACAACATCTGCAAGTTACAGGAAAAGTCAGAAATTGAAATGCTATTATACAAATATATACAATTAGATTTATACATGCTGGTATGTATGAGGAGTTAAATCTTTTTAGAAAAATTGTTCTGCAAGATACATTAGTTATACATGATATATATATATATATATATATATATATAGTGAAGTAATTGATCAGAAATATATCTCTATGTTGTCCTAGTTTGTAATACACCTGTAAGTGTAGTAATAGCAGAAAGTCCTTTCTCAAAATTAAAAATTATCTGCAACTTTTTTTTACCTAGAATGATAGATGTTGTTTTTAATTATATGAATGAAATGAAGTTTTAAAACTGTAGATTCTGATGGTCTATCAAATGTATTTGCTAAAAAGGTTCAATTCTTAGTGATGCCCCTAAGAAATTTAATCAGAAAACTATGACTAAGTTGTCACACTCATAAGTTATTATATTATATAAGATTATGAAACAAAACAATTATATTTTTCTCTTTTAAGTTTCTATTGTTTCCTATCTGTTAGAATGATCATTAGTATATTTTATAAATAAAACAATTTTCTAAAGGAAGAAGCTATCAGTTTTACTGACATTTATGGCACTTCTTCCCTTGCTTTTTGAAAAAAGAGTCCCACATCTTACTTTGTACTGGGCTTTGTACCTCTGTGTGGCTGTTCTCCTTAACCTTCTCATCCTTCCTTCACTGGGGTGCCTCAAAACTGACGGGGACCACAGGGCCTCAGGAACCTATCTCCTGCTCTTGATTCTGTGGTTTTTCTGGAGGCATCTTTTCTTCATTTTGAAATAAAATTTTGTATCATCCACACTATCCTTTCCTTAGCATTTTCTTTGATTTCCTCATCATTTTGACTTGATTTGCTTCTTTCTTTCTGTTGTCCATGTGATATACATCTAGGGACCCTTCATGGGCAGACTTTGCTTTCATCAAGGGTGCACTTGAAGGCCATACTCCACGGGAGACTAATTGAAAAATTTTGTGAATAGATAGGGAAGAGAGTTCATATCACCCATCAGAAACACAATAAAATTCTCATTTTGCAGTTTATCCACTTCTTGAATGCTCCTCTTTTATCTACCTATCCATTATTTTCTTTCCTTACAGCTTCTCTAGGATTCTTGTAATTCCTAAAATATTCAGATCTAGCCCTACATCTGCCCACTTGAGTAAACCAAGGGCCAGTGGTGAGCTAAGGACCACCTGCTATTCTTGATTCTGCTTCTTATTTCAGGGAAGATTCACTCCAAATTCTAAAGTTCCTCCTACAAAAGACATGTTTCTTTCTAAGGCATAATTCTAAGAAAAGACATTCCCATTTTCTTCTTATCTTCTTCACTTTCCTTTCATTGTTTTTCTTCCAAATTCTGGAATTACTTAAAAAATCTCCTGTTTCCTTTTACTGAGTTTTATTTGTGAATCAAATGTGCATTAGGTGATATAATAAATATTTACATTTTACACTTAGCTTTTAAATAAAGATTTATTGCAAAAATGGGCTCAAAATAATTCTGTTACTCTTGATGATTTTTTAGGATTGGAAAAATTCAAGTGATTCAAAAGATTCAAATAACTTCCTTTGATTTCCAGAAATGGAAGACTCCATTGAGACTCAAATCAGTCATTTTAATATTGGACAGCTGTTATTATTAGAAATTTTAAAAAGGAAAGGCAGATTTTAATCCATTTTAAAAAGAATGAATGCAGGCAAAAGAAAGTATTCTAATTTTTCAAAATCCTTGAAAAATTTCCATAACCAGAGTCAATACAATCTTCTGTCTCATAAGCACATAAGATGGCTATTCATTATTAAATATTATTTTAAAATATTTTAATTATCATTTTTTACTATTTTTTAATTTTATTTTTTATTTTTTAATTTTTCACTATTTTTATGTACTGGATTAAGAAGGCTTTTTTAGGATGAAGTAATTACCAATTATAATATTGTTCTATTGCAAAAGTAAAGTTTTCATAAGCCAGGCATGGTGGTGTATGCCTGTAATCCCAGCACTCGGGAGGCTGAGGCAGGAGGATTGCTGCAAGTTCGAGGCCAGCCTGGGCTACATAGTGAGTTCACGGCCAGCCTGAACTACAAAGGGAGACCCTGCCTGAAAAAACCAAAATAAATAAATAAACAAATAAAGTTTTCATTTTCAAAGACACACACCTCCAAATGAACCTTTACTTTCCCAAACTGAAACATTTTTTGGGGGTACCGGGGATTGAACTCTGGTCCTTGAGCTTGCGAGGCAGATGGTGGAACCACTGAGCTAAATCCCCGGCCCAAACTGAAACATTTTTAATATAAACTAAGTGCAGAGTGCTAGGGAGGTGGAAAGTGATTCAGTACTTTTTGAGAATTTAGTGGAAAGAAATCAATTTAGTGTTGTTGCTTTTGTTAGATTTCATAACAATATATGAACTTTAGGGCAAAGCTATGTGGAAAGCTACTGAATCAGTTGGTCCTCTATTTGTAGTTACAGCTAAAACCAACCGTGGCTACAAAATATTCAGAAAAAAATTCCCTAAAGTTAACAAGACAAACTTGAATTGACCATGTGCCCAGTACCCCCTTTCTTTTTAGTACTAAGTGATGAGCCCAGGGTCTTCACAATGCGGCTATATCCTCAGCCCTTTTAAATTTCTTGTTTAGAGACAAGGTCTCTTGCTAAGTCACTAAATTGCCTAGGCTGGGCTTGAATTTATCATCCTGCTTCAGCCTCCCAGAGTGCTGGGATTAAAGGCGTGAGCTACTGCACTTGGGTTTTGAGGACTACACTGAATCTACACCTCTGATGTACAGGCTTTGTATCAAGTATTATTAATAATCTAGAGATAATTTAAAGCATATGCCATTTTAATATAGGGGACTTGAGCATCAGATTTTATCTAGAGGGGCCTCTGAATCAATCCTCCATGGATACCACTGTACTCTGAAGTTTCAAAGATACTGAAACAGGAAGACAAAATACAGTATTCACCAGGAATATTTTATGTGCAGCTCGATATTCAGACTGAAGACAAGTGAGAGTAGGAGCCAGCTCAGAGGGCAGGAGAAGGGGCCACCGCACTGATGGGCAGCAGGCACTCCTCCCTGTTTCCAGGGACCAGGACTTGCAGCAGTACAGACAGCTGTCAGCAGAGAAGTCCAGACAGATTTTCTCCTCGGATGCCAGCTTTGCTACAGACAACTGTGGCACCTGTCCTCATGGCCACACCCGTAACTGAGCCCAGCCTCCCAGTGTTTTGTGTTCTCATGAAGACTGTGTCTTCAAGTGTATCCACTGAAAGATCATTTTATAGCTTTATTATGAAGATAACTTTAGTTCACAGATCACCAGTGTATAGCAGTGTAATGTGAATCTTTTTTCCTCCAAGGAGCAAAGGAGCTATCAATTTTCAACACTTTGGTATGCAAACAAAATTGTTAAGTTACACATTTATTTTACATAATGAGCAGGTTAAAACCCACTAAGGGGATTCATATGACCATCTAACTGTACTAGGGATTAGTAGGCAATACAAATAAGCCTTTACTTTGCAAAGTAGACATTATTTTTCTTAATTACAACATTAACATGTAACTTTAAATCTGATGCTGAAAAATTATCAGCCTAAAATATTGATTCATAAGATCATTAGTAATAGTCACCTCTTTCCTGAAAGTATCTTATATTGCTATTTTAAAATTAAACTAGGGCCAATTTACATTAATGTGTTTTTATATATGTATGTTTAGAGTCAATTGAAAAGGTTTATCAGGTTGAAAAATGATAGAAAAACTGGATAGATAAATGAAATGCTTAGAAAAATAGCAGTGTGTAAACTTTCTCCTGGGAATAAGCTTGGCACTTTTGAAAGCATCAGTGATTCTTGGTAGACTGAAATGATTTAAGTGTTAGGAAGATTTCCAAATACTCTATCCTTTAATATTTTTTATTTGGTTACAACTTTTGGAGCTTCAGCTAGTGGTATTTCCTCTTAGTTTCAGTCTGAGGTTCATCTTCTTTCACTCTTCCTTTGAAAGAAACCATGGCCCTGTCTGCTCCAAGGTACTCACCAAGGGCAAGCATCATTTTTGGAGATATTATTCTAGATAAAAGCAGAGAAAAGGTTATTGTATGTTAACATCCTTAAAGTGGTCAAAGAGACTACTTTGTAAATTTTTTGATTGCCCACATGACACCACAAGTGGAAAATCTCACACCTGACCCAATGGATGGGTCACAGTCAAAATGCAGACCACTAAAAATATTGTACAAAATTATCTTTGGGCTATGTATACAAAATGTAACTGAAACATAAATGAATTTATGTTTTAGACTTAGGTTTAATCCTCAAGAAATCACATTGTATTTACACAAATATTCCAAAATCTGAAGAAATCTGAAATCTAAACTCTTTTGGTGCCTAGCATTTTGGATATGGGGAGCTCTATATGTACATACAGCAGGGAGGGAAGGAGCATATGCTGATGGTAAAAGCTTATGCTCTGTAATTAGATTAAAAACTTTGGTTTGAAACCTTGTTCTAGTATATATTAGCTACTTAACCCCGCAAAAATTACTCTTTGAACCTTGGATTCTCGAAATGTGGTAAAATTCACGGAAAACTATCAACACAGTAACTGACTGTGTTGGGCACTCTATAAATGTTAGACGTGATTTCCAGGCTGAATCCATCCATAAATACACAGAGCACATTGCATGGGCCTCATAGGAAGGTGCAGCAACTCTTTCCCTAAGTGAAATGAGGAATTTATGGATTAGTTTTTAGCACCACACTCACAATTTTTACCCTTCTTTTCAAAATAGAATTCTACCTTAGGCAAACTGCACTGACCCAATCCAAAAATATAAAAGCAAGCAAGCAAGCAAGCAAACAAACAGACAAAAACCCCAAAGCCTCCCAAATAACTTGGGTGCTATTTGTTTTTGTGTTGAAAGAAATAATGTGTGCTCTGAAAGGCTAAAGAGTTGCTAAATCTTGTCAATATCTGAAATAACCAAGACACATCTAACAATAGTTCAGTAAACTGTCCTTGCACTACCAAACGTCTTCCCCTCATCATTAAAAAAATGTGAAGTTGCTTTCTAGATCAAAGAAGTGATGATTGGACAATTTGTTCACAAACAACCAAGAAAGTGAGGTCAGTATTAACTTACTGTTTAAGGAACAATGCAACATATGCAAATCTGGGTAGTAAGAGGTAAACTTGTTCCTCTAAAATAGCGTTGACAACTTTTTGGGCCACATACTCTGGCTCCATTATAGGTAACAGAAATGGATACCTAGAGTAACAATAACAAAAGTTGTATCATAAGACTAGTACTTTTTACAGTCATCATAGCATCAATTATTACATTTCAAACATGGAACTATCATGTACAGCTACAAACAGTCAAAAATGAGTTGTCTAATGTTTTCTTTCATGATTGACATTGGTATCAATGCTAATATATTTACTTTCCTCTAATGAACTCCAGCGTTTTGTTTATTGACTTATGTGATGACCTGAACATATGGAAGCAATTACTTTTAGATTGTTTTGTATCTTTCTTTCCTCTCTCTTCCTCCCTCCCAAACATCAAATGATTGCATAGTATTAAGCAAAATTGCAAAAATTTTTCTTACCAAAACATCTCTTGAGCATGTGTAATATATCATTTTAGGGAGGTCATTGTTATAGCATTAAGCAGAAATAGATGTTTGTGAGATTAATAGGCATTGAAATAAATGAGATTATAAAGCTCCATAAGTTATTCTATGACATTTTATATTTTTATATTATCGTCTCAATTATTTGAACAGCTTTCCTTTGAAAAATTCTGTTTATCTCAATTCATTCTTGGAATCTGATCAATTATCTATAATTTCCCATTAGTCTTTATAGTTTTTTCTCCTAAAAGTTCCTTAGAACTCTAGCCTAAAGTCTCCAACATTTATCTACAAATATAATCTACATATTAGTTTTTCTTTCATCTTTCATCATTTTTAGATTACTAATCTTTCCTTTTCGAGAGACTTCACTGTTAGCTCATATGTGGTTAGGAACCTCGAATTTAGAAGTCATCACTTAACATCATAGCCTTCACTGACTATCATTGCTGGCTGGTCACTTCCCTTCTGTGACCTTGACATTCTAGCTGTTAATAGAGCATAATCACATTTTATCAATTCTTACTAATATGGTTGTTTTGAAATACTGTTAGAAACAAAATAAATAAAAATGTGTGCATAGGAATAAACATATGTACTTAACATATTGATATAAAGTATGTATAGTAATGATTTATGAAAATAATAATGTACTCATTTTTGTTGTTTCATATAATCAATTACTTTTCACAGAATGCTTTTATTGATTTTTGCTGAATTCTTGCATCACATATATTCTATTGCATAACGATGCTGTTTTGTTAATCCATTCATCAATGAATATTTAGAATTTCTACTTTTTGGTTATGAACAATGCTATATAAAGATGAATTACAATTTTATAGGTGCCTATGTGTTTCCATTTCTTTTGAGTATATACCTAGGTACAAAATTTGTGGGCCACATGGTAACTCTCTGTCTAACATTTTGAGGAACTGTCAAACTTTTTCGAAACAGCTGAATTAATTTACAACACCATCAGCAATGTTTCAGGGTTCCTCCTCATGAAGATGTATGCTATTTTCCTTCGAGTATTTTATGGTTTTATTTTTCACATTGAGGTTTTTTAATCTAATTTGAGTTAATTTTTGTATATCATGTAAGGGTTGGTGTTCAACTTAATTTTTTCATAAGAAGTTCTTCCAGTTGTCTCAGAACTGTTTGTTGAAAAGACTTTTATTTCTCCCCTTGAATTATCTTGGCACAGCAGCTGAAAAATCAATTGAGTATAAATGTAAAAGTTTGTTTCTGAACTCCCAGTACTGTTCTGTTGATCTGTATCTCCATCCTTATGTTGGTCCTACAGTCTTGATTAGGGTAGTATTGTATCAATTTTGAAATTGGAAAGTGCGATTCAGTTCAACTTTCTTCTTTTTCAAAATGGCTTTGGCTTTCTGGTATTTTGTATTTTTTACAAAATTAGTCTTGTCTATTCCTTTAAAAAAGGCAAGTAGGATTCTGATAGGAACTGCGTTAATCTGATAGGTACATTGGAAACAATATCAAATTTTTCAATCTGTACACATGATGTTTTTCCATATATTTAAGTCCTGTTTAATCTCTTTCAAAGATTTTTATACTTTTTATAGTAAAAGACTTGTATTTTCTTCTTAGATTTTTTTCCTAAGTATTAATTATTATTGTTGATGTTGTTGTTGTTATTGTGGTAGGGATTGAACCCAAGTTCTCATGAATACTACCAGGCAAGCTACAATGGCATCCCTATTTTATTATTTTTCATGTAATTATAAATGGAATAGTTTTATTAATTTTATTTTTTGGTTGTTCATTAAAAATATGTAGAAATACGATGTATTTTTTATATTGATTTTGTTTATTGATCTTAGAACTTTGCTGAATTTACTTTTGTATTCTTTTTTTTTTTGGTACCAGGGATCGAACTCGGGACCTTGAGCTTGTGAGGTAGGCGCTGGGACCACTGAGCTAAATCCCTGGCCCTGAATTTACTTTTCACATATAATGTGTCTGTGTGTGTATGTGTGTGCATGTGTGTATTCCTTAGGGTTTTCTATAAACAAGATCATGCCATTTGAGAATAGTTTTTCCTTCTCTCAACTTTGGATACCTTTTATTTCCTCTGCCTAAATGTCCTGTTCTATAGGAGTTGCATGTACATTTTTGTCTTGTTATTGATCTTAGGGAGAAAGCATTTAGTTTTCAACATTAAATATGATGTTAACTGTGGATTTTTCACTGATGTCACATATCAGATTGTGCAAAAATCTATTATTTCTAGTTTCTTGAATGTTTTTGTTGTGAAATAGTGTTGGATTTTTCGGTTTTTTCTGTGTGTATTAAGATGATTATGAAAATTTTGTCCTTTATTATATGAAAATAATGTATTATATTAAATTGTTTAAAAATATTAACAAAATTGGAATTCCTTGAATAAATCCCAATTGATCATTTTATATTATCATTATTTTATGTTGCTGGATTCAGTCTGCTAGCATTTCATTAAGAATTTCTGTGTTTATCAACTGGTCTTGCAACAAAGTAACATTGCATTCATAAATGAGTTGGAAAGTATTCAGTCCTCTTGATATTTTGGAAGTTTTCAAAATACTGGTAGTAACTTTTCTTCAAATGTTTGATAGGATTCCACAGGAAGCCCTTTGGACCTAGGCATTTATCGTGTGGGAATTTTTTAGTGTGCTAATTAAAAACCTGTGTTTTAAACACATTTAAGTTTTGCTTTCTCCTCCAGTCAGTTTTGTTAGTTTGTGTCTCCCTAAGAATTTTTTCACTCCATCTAAGAAATCTATTTTGCTGGCATATGCTTTCTCATAGTTTTTCCTTACGATATTTTTTCTTTCTGTAATGATATTGATGTCACCTCTTTATTCTTAATTTTAGTAGTTCAAGACTTTTTTTCTCATTTCCCAGGATAGCTACATTTGTATTAATTTTGTTGATCTTTTCAAAGAAGAAACATTTGGCTTCTTTGATTTTCTGCTTTCTATTTCACCCATTTCTTCTACAATATTTATTTTTATTTATTTATCTTTTTATTAAATTCTTTTATTGGTACATTGTAGGTATACAACACAATTACATTTCTCATTGGGAACTGTACCTTTACATAATGCA